TAAGCTCATTTTTAGCTTTTCAGTCATCGTTTGGAAAATATATGCTGCCTTTGAATGGAGCACAGGATTTCAGACTAACACTAGGGGTCTTCAAGAAGCACATGAAGAATGTATGGTATGAACACATTATACATGCATTTCTGAAGGGAGGAGAGAACCTCCACTTTGACTATGACCTTGTCTAAACAAGATAAGAGTCGGAGAACTCAAGGGGCTTCCATAGCCTTGGAAACTCATGACTGGTGCATAGGGAGATTACTGATGCCATAAACAGGAGTGTCAATTTGTAAAGTCAACAACAGGAGTCACTGTGCACTTACTCCTCATGTAGGATCTCTGTCCTTAATGTGCTGTACATTGAGACTTAATGCTATAATGAGTACTCAAACAGTATATTTCACTTTGTGTTTCTATGGGGGTGCAAACTGTTGAAATCTTTACTTAATGTATACTAAACTGATCTTCTGTAAAAAAAAAAAAAAAAAAAAGAAGAAGAAGAAATTATCAATTCCCTACTTGACTCTCACTGGGATTAAACATGACAATAGGTCTGATCTGATTTCATCATCATTTAAAAAATCATCTATTATTTTTCACTTTATGTTTCTGTGTGGGAGCAAACTGTTGAAATCTTTACTTAATGTATGCTAAACGGATCTTCTGTATATAAAGAGAATCGAAAATGAATCCTCATGTGAATGGAAGGGGAGAGGGAGTGGGAAAGGGGAGGGTTGCGGGTGGGAGGGACGTTATGGGGGGGAAGCCATTGTAATCCATAAGCCGTACTTTGGAAATTTATATTCATTGAATAAAAGTTAAAAAAAAACTTTTGGACCAGAACAAACTTTTCTTTTAATTTCATTTTTCCACATATATGTTCCCATATATAACTCCATATCACAGAGCAAAATCTTAAATCTTGCTTTCTATAAATCTCATCCATCTATAAAAATCAGTGCTTTTTAGGCCACTAAGTCAAGAGATCTTGCCCAAGGTCATCATGGTAGGCAGCACACTATTTTTACATAATTACATGGAAGATGCCTTATGGTCATTAATGAGCTGACCTTAAAATAGAAAGATTATCAGGCATCATTTGCTCAGCATAATATAAACACAGGAGCCCTTCAAGACAGAGACCTCTCTCTGGATAGTAGCAAAGAGGAACATATTGAAACATATGAAAAGGATCCGACATGCCATTTTTGATTTGAAGATAAAGGGAGCTACATGAAGAGTGAACAAGGAGCTGGCGCTGTGGCTAACAGGCTAATCCTCCGCCTGCGGCGCCGGCACACGGGTTCTAGTCCTGGTCGGGGCACTGGATTCTGTCCCAGTTGCCCCTCTTCCAGGCCAGCTCTCTGCTATGGCCCGGGAGTGCAGTGGAGGATGGCCCAAGTGCTTGGGCCCTGCACCCGCATGGGAGACCAGGAGAAACACCTGGCTCCTGGCTTTGGATCAGCGTGGTGCGCCGGCCGCGGCGGCCATTGGAGGGTGAACCAAGGGCAAAAGGAAGACCTTTCTCTCTCTCTGTCTCTCTCACTGTCCACTCTGCCTGTCAAAAAAAAAAAAAAAAAAAAAAAAAAGAGTGAACAAGGACCTCAGTCCTACAATATTAACGAACTGAATTCAGTGAACAACATGAATGAACTCTGAAATGGATTCTTCCCCACGTACTCAGCCTAATCAACAGCTTGGCTTCCACCCTGTGAGGCCCTGAGTAGAGAATGCTTTTGAGCTACACTCTACCTAAACATCCAGCTCACAGAAGTATGAAATAATAAATAGGTGTAAATTTATACAATGTATCACAGTATCAACAGAAAACAAATACAGTCACAGAGCGAACAAGAGGTCACACCAGTCACAGGGCTCTAACCTAGGCAGTAGACTCTCAAGCCTATACTCTCAGATTCTGTAGGACACCATGAACCACTCTCCCTATCAAGAAGGTATGTACACACCATCATCTATCACTGTCCCAGGTACTTCTCTCTGCCAGTGCCACTGTCTCCTTTTACGTGGCTAAAAGCTTGAGTGCAGCTAAATCTTCAAGGAAATGCCACAGTGTCCACCCTTACAGCACAGCCACATGCTCAGAAGTCCCAAGTCACCACCTTTGACCACCAAGGTAGCCCCCGTGCCTGGATCTTGAATTAAAACAGCAATGCCTTTGCTGACCGGCTACTACTGCAGTAGTGCTGCTGCTACTCAGCCCCAACACTTAACACTGCAGCTTCTCCAGGATTAGACAACATTTCAGTCTATGCAACATTGAAAAAATGAGTTCTCAGAGCCTGCTGCCCGGGATCAAATCTGTACTCCAACCCTTTTCAGCCGTGTGACTTGAACAAGTTACTTTACATCCCCAAGACTGTGTTCCTATGTACAAAAAAGTAAAATGGTTTTGCCTCAAAGATCTGTGAGCAGCAGTAAATGAAATTCACAAACAGTGCTTAGTGCAGTTACTGGCACCAAATAAAAGCACAAGTATATTTCATTTCACTCTTTCCTTTCTTCCCCTCCTCACTATAAATGGTATGCCCCTAACTCATTTCCGACCATTCAGTAATTCACCCAGTGAAAACGCATAACCTCTTATCATCCTTGATTCAGTAATTCCCTGACTCACTTGCTTTTAAGGAGTACCTAAGGTTCTTGTTAAAAGCACAAAATCATAAGCCCAACCCTAGAGCTTCTGTTTCAAGTGGTCTAGGGTAGGCTCCAGAAATCTGCCTTGATAAGGGTCACTGATGATTCTTGTAAGCTGTCTCAGATAAGGAGTAGGATCTGTGTAATCCTGAGTGTTTGCTGCACAGATGCTAATTGTTGGGTAGACCCATAGACCAGAAAGTGGTAGGTGAAGGTGAACATCATGTTGGGAAGGCATAATGCAACAAAGCACGGGCAGATTAACAGTGCCTGGCACAAAGTAAGCCCCCAATAAATGGCTGTCAGTTCTCATATATCTGGACCAAATGTGCACAACTGAGTGGCAAGTTAGAGATGCCGTTTTACCTGTCTTCCATGTGATTTGTTCACTGTGTGAGGTTAATAAAAACCTTCACAGGGCTACACATCTTGTAAATATGTATGCCCCAGGGTCATAGATAAAGATGGATTTGTGTGAAACTAATTAAACTTAAACCCTAGCCAGATTTTCACACAGTCATTTTATTAACTTTGAAAAAAATAAGCTATTTTTGACCTTTTTTCTCAAAATTCTGTAAGCTTTAGGCACCACAGAGTTTATCAGCACAGCTCTTCAAAGGGGAGGTTGGAACTGGCAGGAGCACAGGGAAGCAGGATGCTTCCAAGTCATGCCCTCCTTGCAGTAGAGGCCAACAGGCTAAGTTCTGAGTGGGGCAGCACTGTGCTCCTCTGCCTCAGGCACAGCCAACACCCTCTTCCTCTGCACCTGTATCTCCCTCCTTTCACCAGGGCCCTGAAGCTGGAATAAATCAAAGAAGACCCTCCACCAGCTCTGCAAACCATGCAAATTCCTTTTCATCATCTCTGGACTTGGAATTTTTCACTCACGGCCCCACCCACAATGTGCCAACTCCATTTTAACCCCAGTCACGCCATTTAACCAGAGGCAGCAAGGTGGCAACAATAAATGACGATGCCTTCTGCACAACCTCTGCTCTACAAACTGTGATTTCATGTGAAATATTTGTTTTATGTAATTTGTAGATTTTAGCTAGTGGACTAAGATCATTCACAGAAATAAAATGTAATTTACTGCTGTTTCTCCATTTTTTATTACTGCATAATTAAATCCTACTGTTAGCTAGCACTGTGGAAAAATTTTGTTGTTACGCAGCATGCATTTTAATTGGCTCACAACCAGCATCTCTTCTTCCAGCAACCCTGCTTCTCTGTAGTGATGTGTGTGCATAATTGTCAGATTCCATTAGGTGGCTCTAATCCATAACCTTTCAATGAACCTACACTCTGGTTTTCCAACTGGCAGTCCTGCAGATGCTTCAGAATGAAGGAACATGAACTGAGGGCATGTGGGTTTGGGTGAGTTGGGCTTAAGTGTGAGCAGGAAGTTTAAAGGAAGCCAAGAGGGGAACTTGAGTTCTGTGCTTGAATTCCTTGCAGCCAAAGCAGCTGATCAATCCATAAAAACCATGGAGGAACAGACAGGCAGCTCTCTTCTTGTTCTGTTTCTCATAGGAAAAGACAAACGCTCAAGTGGTCAGTGGAATAGAGAGAGGTTCAGATTTTTTTTTTTTTTTTGACAGGCAGAGTGGACAGTGAGAGAGAGAGACAGAGAGAAAGGTCTTCCTTTTGCCCTTGGTTCACCCTCCAATGGCCGCCGCGGCCGGCGCACTGCGCCTATCTGAAGGCAGGAGCCAGGTGCTTCTCCTGGTCTCCCATGCGGGTGCAGGGCCCAAGCACTTGGGCCATCCTCCACTGCACTCCCGGGCCACAGCAGAGAGCTGGCCTGGAAGAGGGGCAACCGGGACAGAATCCGGTGCCCCAGCCGGGACTAGAACCTGGTGTGCTGGGCCGCAAGGCGGAGGATTAGCCTAGTGAGCCACGGCGCCAGCCAGGTTCAGATTCTTAACAGGAAAACTTTCATCCCTTTCTATAGGTTCATTTAGTCAGCAAACTCATCTGTAGGGCTTGGTTGAGGGGCAAGGGGCAGGGCGGAGGGTATAGCAATGAATAATACATGACCATTGTCCTCAATGTGCTCACATCAGTAGTTCAATAACCACCTACGGTAGCTCACTAACCCCACTGCCATAGGTCTCACTAGAAAGAGAGAGGAGTGATATGGTATGAATAGGCAGGCAGCTAGTTAGGTCTAAGTGAGCTGGAAGTCTTGCAAGCCCTGCAATATAATGTTATCTCTTTACCTGTCAGTCAAAAATGCCCACCTTCCCACAATGCCCCTGTGTTTCATCCAGGACAAGGGAGAGGGAGACATCATGATGACTACATGGATATTAAGCTCCAATTAGAGGTGCCATCATATTCCCAGAAGGCTTCACATATGCTAAGGCATCACCCTCTATCTCATAAAAGAATCTGAAAATAGAAGAGAACCCTCTTTTAGTCCCGACCGTGGTGCAGAGTATTCAGGCTTTTTCTTGTCTCAAGGGCAACCCCTCCGATCCATTCATGGCAGGTATTTCTCTGTGTGGGGTGGCCCACACTCAAGCATGAATGCATGTTTTTCTCTCTCACTATTGAATAAATCCTGATCTTATTCATGCACATTACGATGCCACCACTTAGAATTCTTATCTCTGTGAGGAGCAAGAATGTAGAGTGAAAATTAAGGTACTCAGGCCCACATCAGGAGGAACTAGTGATATAATGGAAATAACACGGGCTTTGGAATCAGACAGACTGTGATTCAAATCCCTCTTTAGCAACATACCCAGGTCTATCACCTTTAGAAAAAGCAACTTCACAAAGGAATTGTGATTTATTTATCTGCAAAATGACAACATAAAGTCTCTCCAAGGAGATAAGAGGCTCCTTGGCTACAAGTAGGGGTGGCTGAAGGAAGTATCCTGCTCGCCTTGTGCTTTTTCCAGTTCCAGTCCCTAATTGGAGGAGCAGTGTTGGGGAATCCAGCGAGGAAGATTTGAAATGACAGATGTCAAGTCCCTGTCACTATGGCAACCACAGATGGGCATTTGATAAATGATAGTCGTCACTGTTGACAGCTATTAGGGAAACACCATTTTTTTCATGTCCCCAGCATATTTCAGTAAATCATAGATCTCTGGTCTCCCTCTAGTATCCCAAAAGAGCACCTTCTACAATGCAAAGCTCACCCATTAAGTGTCCATTTCAAATCCTCCATAGCTCGACCCTTCCAGACAACTCTCTATCTCTTGGCATAGACTGTGGGCAATGGCATGTGACCGCCCTCCCCTCTCCCTGACCAGCAGTCCCCTCATGATCCTCTCTGTGCTCCTTTCGAAACCAGTTCCATTGCCACAATTTGCTTCCTCTTGATTCCTGGTTATGTTCATTCTGTTTCCTTGCCCTGATCTTTTCTATCCAACCATGTCTGCTTGTTCACATGCGGCTGAGGAACATGCTCCAGCCACATGCATGGCCCACTCAGCTACTTAATAGAATTCCCCAAGTAGAATCCCCCTATTGTTCCGCCCACTTTCCTATTTGCCCCTCTCAGATCCAGCTTCCAAACTCCATCTGGGCTGATTTTTGCATATGAATCCCATTGTGGTACCCCCTTTTTTAAAATATTGGGTGTCTCCTTATGCATTACAACTGAGTAAGATCCAACCCTCCAAGCATTATTTGGCCTTATTTGGCCCTTCAAACTCTCCCCCTTGCTCCCTGTGTTCCAGCCACACTGGCCAGTCTGCAGATCTGTGAACCCAGGATCTCTTCCTACTTCACATGTACACGGGCCCTTCCTACAGAGAATGCTGCCTGCCTGCTGCTCAGTCTCCCACACTCAGTTCAAGCGCCACTTTCTGGGAGACCTCTCCTAGTTGGCCAAACAAGATCATGGCCCTGTGATTCTCTCTCAGGGTACCTGTTCTATTCCTTCATAATGACAAGTGTAATCTGTAAGTATTTCTTTACGTATGCACATAATTGCTTAATCTTACTTAATGACCTGCTTTCTCTGGCAGGGGAAGAAAGGTGCGATCACTTTCCTCCATTCTAAGGGTCCTGGCTGACTCTCTTATAACAAAAGACAGGTTAACAACAGAAAAGCATGATCAGTTTGTTTAGCCACAATTTTATGTAACATGAGAGAATTCAGAAAAGGAAACACAAACCAGGAAAAACTGTCTTGTTTTTATGCGTGGATTCAATGAAGCATGGACAGCCACATAAAAACGTGATTGGACAAAAAGGATATGATCTAATAATGGTAAAAGACTTAGGAGGGGAAAGCCCTCAAGACTTACCTGTTTGGATTCTTCCTGGTCTCTCTAGGTAGCAGTCCTTCCTTCTGAGTGTGAGACAGGATCTCCTCTGGAATTATGTCTTAGGATTTTTTATGTGACAAGGTGATCAAAGAATTCTCTATTACTAGTTCTTACACAGAAAGGCAGGGGGAGATTAAAGTGGTATTTCTTAGTTTTATGGCTGGGTTTGCAGGAAAGGGGTTCTGGTTTCTATGACACATCTAGGGGAAGAGGAATTACAGCTTCTATGGCTTGGTTTGGAGAAAAAAGGACAGCAGCAGAAAGCACAGGAAAAAGAAATCGATTTTTTTCTGGAGACTCTTCCAGTGTTCTTCAATTCACAGTACTCAGCATCTGGGGTATCATTTTTGAGCTCCCAGTGCTGTAAACTACAAGTCCCATGAATGCAGTAGTTTTACCCCAAGCAGGAAGCCCACAGCCCTGCGCAGGTGTCTGTCAAACAGATGCCTCCATGAAGCTCTCTTGCCTCTCCACTTCTGCCTCCACCCACACTGCAGCCAGGGCCTGCAGGAAGACACACTGCTGTAGTATTTCATCTACATGTCAATCTCTTTCCAAAAGAATGTGAACTTCTTGATAACAGTATTATCCTTCTTCCATGCATTCCCAGCATAGCAAAGCATAGTCCCCCCACTCCTATGTACAGTACAAAGAATAACTCCTAAACGTAAAGTGCTCCTACACCTACAGATAGAAGTACTAACAGCCTTGCCTTCAAGTAACATTGCAGTCAGACACAACCTTCACTTCAACTTTAGAGGGGAAAAGTTCACAGTGAAGGGACAGAGTGGATGCCAGCACATCAAATGGCAGGCTACTGTAGGAAGATGTTTTAGAGATGAGTCTGCTGCAATGTGGTAAGTGGGCAAGAAGCATAGAGAAGGTAGGCTGTCAAGCACAACTGCTAGGCACCTGGCTTGCAAAACTGGATGGGAGTGCAGCCATCCCTCAGAGGGAGCGCCAGAATGCAGGTGCCACAGCATAACCACGGATGAAACAGGAGGCAGAGGTGCCATCTAAGTAACGTAGCGTGTGCACGTTCCAAGAGCAGGGAAAGTGGGTGGCCTTCCCTTGGAGAAGTCGTCTGGCCCATGTGTCATACTCTGCATGTAGTTCTGAAGCTGACAGAACAGGTAATCATTCAATAGTCATTGATATTTGGCTGTGAAATACAGTGACATGAGAACAATGGATTCTGACCTGCTCTTCCCATCTCAGGACCCTGTAAGCAGTCTGAGACCAAGAAGGGGAGAAAGAATAAGGCTCTACATAGACGGTTCATTGAAGCATTTTTCAAACCACATAAGGACAAAAAATAGGTTCTCCTTGATGTTAAAGGAATCTGGGTAGGTTGTCATATGGCCAGTCAATTAATCTTAACATCATTATTATTTCTAGCTACACTTGATTGAGCTCTCACTGTGTGCCAGGCACATGTCTTTCACCTATAGAAACAGTTTCAGACAATTACTTACATAACCACAATAACCACGTAGGTGCAGAGCCGCTGAGTGAAAGAGCAGGGATGGAGACTCAAGTCTGCATGACCCTAAGACCAATCTTCTTTTTTTCTTCACATTCAGTGAATTTCTTTGACTGAACAACACTTCAGCATTGACCTCCACATGCAAAACTGGCATTTCCAGGTGTTAAACACAATTAAGGTGAGGCCTTTGACCGCGGGGTAGAACAAAACTAATTGGCCTCTGCAGAGATCAAAACCACGACCTTGTCCTTACTTGATCATTCTGCCATCGGATTGTTTAAGGCGGACAAACACTTGCCATCCAATGGCTATAAAGCATTTTATTTCCCCTCATATTGTGTGGGTTACTCGTTTATTGAAAGAGCTTAGCCTTTCAACATAAGTCACTGGATAGAAGACAGAAAAGGGATACTTCTATAAATTATCAAATGGAAAGGCTTTTAAAGTGTATTCCCAGGGTGTGAAAGGGGAGAGGTAGAGCGCTGGAAATCCACCTTCAAGACGTGCAGAACCAGCTGCCAGGTCCTCAGGGGCGGGGCGGGAGGGGCGGGGTTTGATGGCCTCGCCACGTGCTCACACTGCCACCTGCTGGGCACGGTGCACTTCTGCTTCCTCTCAGCCCTATGCACATGGAGACTCATTGATTGCTCACACAATCACCTCCTTTCCGCATTTCAAATTGCCTTCAAGAGGAATTTTGATTTCTAACCAATTACTCTCCTCAGCCTGATCGCAAGGAAAGGCAGGCGGGCCTGCTGGCGTGCGCTGATGGTGGCCGCGAACGCTGCTGGAGGAACGAAGCAGGGAGGGCGGCTGGAGGAGGTCTGTGTACGTGGTCACTGGGAGAGCCGGTCGCACCCGAGAATCCGTCTGACCAAGTTCTCAGAACACTCACGGTTAATTGGCCACAACTCTCAGCACAACATCTCTGAAAACCCCTGCTTAACAAAGCTAAGTGTGCTCCTCCCTGTGTATTTTTTTTTTTTCCTACAAGCACAGCTTGTGTATCTGAGGGCAGGGCGGACTTTCAGCTCCAGAACGCGGAGCCATTATTTTATGAGACCACAGGCAGCGGTTGTTTTTGCAAAGAATTTCAGCCTTGCTTTCCGTTCACTCACAGCATGAAAACAAATCAGTGTGCTTGGGCATTTTAAAAATTAAAGGCTTAGATGGCACACGCTGATCAAACACGGGTCTTCAGATACCTATTTCTATAGGCTCCTACGTTTTGTAACTTTCAATTTTCCTTTATCTTATATTAACCTCACGTAGCATGTGGCTATAGCAGGCTGAAACACATTACTGCCCTTCCAAACTAAATAGGATGCTAATCCCTACTGACTTAGCATAAATGTAAAACAGAAAGATGGGTTGGAGAGAATTGAAGGTGAAAGTCGGGCCCTACTGATGTCACTCTCATACATGTAAGTTTCAATAACCCCAAAATAAATTAGAATCATCCCTGATACCACTTTCCAAAGGAAGATGCTGGATGCCTCATCATTCTCACTAACTCAGGTATTCAGAAGCTCTTGATAAAAGAAAACTTGGAATTTCTTGTCCTCTGACCAATTGTCAGATTTTCTACATCATCGAGCCCTGCACTGCCTACTGATTTTATATGCAGAATTGAAACAGCAGGTCTGTGCCCAGATGGTCTTTCTTACTACCAGTGTTAGCACACCTGAGATGGTGGACCTCAGGTCTATGTTTTCAGGTCTGAACGCTCACCTGAGCTGTACACTCATCTCTAAATGCCCACTAATTTCACCTTGAATGTTCTACAGGCACCTTAAGCTCACCCTGTCTGATCTCAAGTCTTGGCCACTCTGGCTCTATCTCCAAACCCCTCCCTTCTTCCCTCATATAAGGATTCCAGTTAATGGAAAAACTCTCCCACAATATTTCCTAACCCCAAATATCATGTATCCTCACCCTATGTATAATTAATCATGAAGTCCTATTAGATCTGCTACCTGATTGTGGTGTCCCTTTTCTCCACTCACACTGATACTTCAGCCTTTCCGCTTCCACTGTTGAACTAATCCTGAACGTGCCCACCTTTCTCCATGCTCTCCCTTTCTTCCTTCACATTCAAAAATATGAACCTGGTCATGTCCATGACATCAAAATCATGGTACATAAAAGTAAAATCAATAAAGTTGATTTATCAAAATTAATAACTTTGCTCTGCAAAAACCTCCATTAAAGACAAACTATAGATTATAAGAAAGCACACACAAACCACATCTGACAAATGACTTATACCTGAAATAGAAAAAGTACTCTTAAATTTTAACATTAGGAAAAGCAATCCCACTTAAAAATGACCAAAAGACATGCACAGATATGGCAAAGAATATATACAGATAGCAAATAAGCACATGAGAGGATGTTCAACATGGTGAACCATAAGGCAAATGCAAATTAAAACCACACTGAGCTATAAATGCACCTAACAGAATGGCTAAAATTGTGGTAGTACCAGCATCAGGGATGGATGTAGAGAAACTGAATCACTGGTGAGAATATAAAATGGTAGAGTCACTCTGGAAAGTAGTTTGGCACTTCCTTTGAAAACTAAAATAATCTAACCATGCAGTCCAGCAATAGCACTCTTGGGCATACAACCCAGAGAAATGAAAACTTACTTTCTTTTTTAAGATTTATTTATTTGAAAGGCAGAGTTACAGAGAGGGAGAGACAGAGAGAAGTTTTCCATCTGCTGGTGCACTCCCCAAATGCCTGCAATGGCAGGAGTTGGGCCAGGTGGAAGACAAAGAGCCAAAAGCTTCTCCTGGGTCCCTCCCAATGTGTGCAGAGACCTAAGTACATGGGCCACCTTCCCATGCTTACCCTGGTGCATTAGCAGGGAGCTGGATCAGAAGTGGAGCAGCCAAGAAACAAACTGGCATCCAAATGAGATGCTGGCTTCACTGGCAGTGACTTAAACCTCCATGCCACAATGCCGACCTCAGAAACTTATTTTCACACAAGCAATTGGTACATGAATATCACAATAGCTTTAGTTTTAATGGACAAAAATTACCCAAAAACCCTTCAATAAGTGAATTGTTAAACTCCAGAGCATACTTCCCATGAAATACTACTAAGCAATAAAAGGAATGAACTACTGATATACTTAGCTTCAATGAACCTTAAGGAAATTATGCTGAGTGGAAGAAAAGCCAATGGCAAAAGGATACATACTGCATGATTCTGTTAAGGTAACATTTATGAATTTAGAATAATAACAATGATGATCAGATTAGTAGTTGAAATGGTTCAGGGGTGGAGGAAGGAAATGAACATAGTTATAAAAGGGAAACAGGAGGGAGTCTTGTTTTAATGGTAAAATAAAGTAGCTTAATTAAAGTGGTAGTTATACAATACTACAAATTGCATAGAAATATATAACCTGCTCTACACACACACACACACACAGAGTACAAGCATTAACCAGTGAAATCTATATAACCCAAGTGGATTACATCAACATCAATTTTCTGGTTTTGTTGTTACACTACAATAATGCAAGACATTCACATTGACAGAAGGTAGGTAAAGGATGCATGGGACCTCCCTATACATTATTTTTTACATCTTCCTGTAAATCTACAACTATTGCAATGTAACTGTTTCAAAAATCTGATCATGTCACTCTTTTGTTGAAGCTATTTGTAGCTCTCATTATTTATAGAATAAAACACATTCATGTATGCATAACATATAGGGTCCTCCATTCCAACTGTCATTTCCTATTAAGTGATCTCATAACTACAACTTTGCTGTCTTTCCATCTCATTGTTGAGTATGATAAATGTCTACCATTTTAGATGACATTTGCCTTGACTTCTGGGATTACAGAAAGCATATGTGTGCAACCTGAAATTCGCCAAATTTGCTAGAGTTAGACATTCTAAGCATATTCCACAGTCATTTAGTAAATCTTTGCATACTCAACCAAATTAATCTCTCAAGAAGACATCCAATCTGGGAATGATAAGGGTAGTTTTCAGTAAGGAAAGAAAATGGGCCCAAATGATGAGAGCACATAAAGCAGTGAAAGCGGTGAAAGGCATCCATAGACTGGAAAATCCCCCTTCACTTCCTAAGCCCAGGGTGTTAATTTCCTAGGGCTGCACTAACAAAGGGACACAAACTGGGCAGCTTAAACAAGAGAAGTTTACCACAGACCTGGAGGCCAGAAGGGAGATCAGGTGTCAGCAGGCTTGGTTCTCTCTGGGGTTAGGAGACAGAATGTGTTCCATGCCTCTCCCCCAGAGAAAAGATTACTGGCAGCCTTTGGTGTTCCTTGCCTCATGAAAGCATCACCCACACTATCTCTGCCTTCTTCTTCATGTGATATTTTCCCCATGAGTGAGTCTCTGTCCAAATTTCAGCTTTCCACTTTTATAAGGACACCACTCCCAGTGGATTAGAGGCCCACCTTTCCAAGACCTCATCTTAACCAGAAACATCTGCAATAACCTTATTCCAAACAAAGTCACAGTCTGAGGTACTGAAGGCTAAGATGCAAATTTGTAAGTTTTGGCTGTATTTAATGTAATTCAGTCAGTAACACCCAGGGTGCACAAGGATCCCCCCAAAAAAAGCTTTTGTTCGTTCTGTTTGAATATCTGGTCTACACATCAGGAATTTTCCTGGTACTAGCAAGTACACACAACGTGATGTGGAAACTGGCTGGGACTTCCTAAACAGATTCTTATGCTCATCACAGAAGACATTCAACCATCACATGAGTTTCTCTGACACTCTATTAGCAGATATTTGACGACTTGCCAAACATGCAGGTTGGATCATTCTGTAATCAAGCTGTTAATCACATGGTAATCATATTCTAGTGTATAAACTGACTCACCTCAGAGCTGGCTCAGAGTCATAAATTTTTTGTAAATTTTTCATTGTGAAAAAACCTACTGAAAACAAACCATACTTGGTGAATAACCCATCTGATTTTTCTAAGAGCCACATTGCTTCATCCAAGCATGGAAACCAGTTGCGAGCAGGCATCATGAAGAGGGTGGAGACATGACTATTCTAACGGCTGCCTAGCAACTGTGTAATGACTCTGGTATGGGGAAGGAGAATACAGGCTCTTCCAGTGCAAGTTTCTACTTAACCTTCCTTTGTGCCCAACAACAGCCTTTTCATGTATGAGTGCATCCAGTGCAGATGAGCCTGTCTGCCTGGTGTCTGAGCACCCACTTTGAAACTGTAGTCTGATAACTTCTGGGATTGCCCAGATCTCAGCATCTCAACCAGAACTTCCAGTTTAACATCTTGTCCATCTGTCTGTATATATCCACATATACCATATTTTCTAGGCCTTACATAACATGTAATTTTGATCTAATCATTTATGAAGAAAGTAAATCCTTTTTGAAAAAATTAATTAACACTCAAACTTTATTTAAGTGTTTCATGGAAGAGTGACTGGTCCCCACCTCTGCCTTTTCACAAAGTTATTTTTTGCTTTATTTGTCCTCTTTCTCAGGTTTATGCTTCTCAAAAAAAATTAGAGCAGGCAATTGGCTAGAAGTGAAAATGTCCATGTCCCACATCAGGGTGCTTGGGTTCAATTCCAAACTCCACCCTCTGACTCTGCTACCTGCTAAAACAGTCCTTTAGTGACAGCAGTGATAACTGAGGTAATTGTGTTTCTGCTACCCACTAAGAAGGACTGAATTGCATTCCTAGCTCCTGGCTCTGGTCCCAACATGTCCGCAGCCAGTCCCAATCATTGTGGGCATTTGGAGAGTGTGTGTATATATATATATGTATATATATTTATATAAAATAAATAAATGTATGCATTTCATATTTACTAATATAAATTTTAAGCCTACTTAAATAAACGATATTTGGTTCAAAATTTGCAAAATAATTGAAATGGTGTGGAAATTTTTATGTAACTTTAAAAAGAATTAGAAAGCATCACTTGAGGTCACAACAAAATATTTGAAATTCAGATGTATTTTGATACACCCACAGAAAGCAATCACCCCAGTTATACACATTACTGTGATTATGCAGAACTGTGTGGTTGAGAGGTACACGGCATTCAGAATAATCACTTACATGACATAAACAAGAATGAGCACAAGGCCTAGACTCCTTGTTCCTGCCCTCCTCCTTATCTCAGCCAGTTACTAAATGCAGTTCTCTCCATTTGTGCTCACAATAACCACTTGCAATGTTTATATTCTTCTCTTTCTTCCCCTCATTGCTTTATTGAGAGTCAAGCAGTAAATTCTGAAGTAATGGCTTGACTAGGGCATTTGTAAAACCAAATTAGTGTCATTCTAATATAAAATATTTTCCAGAACTGAAGCATAGCATAGGAAGTAAAAGATGTACCTTCATCTTTATTCATTCAGCAAAATCTGAACCCCAACTGTGTACCAGGCCTTTTTTTTGGGTGCTAGTATTATAAAGAGAAAACTTGACATGACCTAATATATTGAGAAATATTCCTATCATGGTCATAAAATTAAGAAGTCTTTGTTGAGAATCGTTTTGTAGGCATTTGAGATAATGTCTTTTAGTGAAAAGCTGGTAAGGCATGTCTATTTTACTATTTATTTCTTTCCATGTATATTTCACTACAGGAATTGCAGGCTCCAAACCAAGTCATGTATTTTCTCCTATATATTATATTTTACTATCTGTGCTTTTCAGATACCCCTTCACCTAGTCCAGGAGTTTAAATTTGCACCAAAATGTTGCAAAAACATCCATCCATCAAGGATAGACCGTGAGTGAAAATTTAGAATATGGAGAAGGACTCATGGGAAGACCTTGTGGGAATGTGTCATGAGATAAATCTTGGCTGATACGCAGGAACCAGACTTGCAGAGATGACAGGTAGTCACATTTCAGGGAAGCAAAGAGAGTTATGTGAGGGAAATCATTATGCCATAAGTGTTGTAGCCCTACCAGGGAGCCAGGAGCTCACTGAGAACTCCTTGAGGAAAGAAGGAAGCAAAGAGGCTCAAGAAGGAAAGAGATTGAAAAAGCAACCTGAAAATAAGGGGTGGCCCATCAAGGTGCTCAAGGACAAATCCTAAATCAGCAGAGTAGCAAAAAATTCAGGCTGGTAATGGAAGTGACTTGGATTTTTGGCACTAAGGATGTCCAAATCAGAGTAAAATGTTTTGATTAAATCTGTAAAAAAAGATACTGAGTGAGAAAATGTTTCTATCTTAATGGTAGAGGTTCATACAACTTCTAGATTAAGAGAGACAAGGAGAGCTTTGCTCTACTGAATAGAATTGGACTACTTAATGGTGGTCCCAAGTTGGTGGAGTGATCTGAGATGGAATTAAGAGAAATCTTGGGAAAGGGACATGAGAACATCAATATGCCCAAGAGCATGTGAAAAGACATCAGTCGTTGTCATTATCACTAACACATCATCATTATCATTATCAACATCATCATTACTAATGGTAACATAATATTAATTTAGTTAGGCTTCATAAAAACTCTAATTTTTTATGGGTAAAGACACTGAGGCACACAGCAATGAAGTAACTTGCCCAACATGAACACTTGAAAAGTGGTAGCACCAGGGTTCAAACCTAGGCAACCTTGATCCACAGCCTATATGTGAAACCACTCTCATCTGCCATGATCTTCCAAAGGACAAGAAGCCCCATTTGCTTTACTTCACTGTTATATACTCCTTCTTATCTTTCTGCCTGTATCCCCGGGTTTCCTGTCTCCTCCTGCTGCCATTTATGCTTACAAATAGTACGTTGTACAAGGTGACACAACTAGACAACTTGTATAAAGAGACTGAAAAATTCATGGAATGTGGAATTCAAAGATAAGTTTATTTTGACACAAGAAAATTTTGAAAGCCATGCACGGTTTTTTCATAGTATGCATTGCATTTTCCATGAATTTTTTGATGTGCCCTTGTATTCTGCAGCCAGAAGAACTAGAAGAGTTCCAGGGCAGGGCTACAAAAAGATAGTGAGCTAGAGTGAGAGTCTACCAGCTCTGTGATTAGCACAAGCCCATTTCCCCTTCCTCTTTGCTATGAATGTAGTGAAATCACATTAATAGAGATAAAAAGGTCTGCAAGGAAATGCATTACTTCTTTATCTTCATCATATGGGTACTGGTTCAAGTCCCAGCTGCTCCACTTCCAATCTAGCTCCCTGCTAATGGCTTGGGGAAAGCAGCGGAAGATGACCCAAGTGCTTTGGCCCCTGCACCCATGTGGGAGACCCAGTGGAAGCTCCTGGCTTTGGTCTGGCCCAGCCCTGGCTGTTGTGTCCATTTGGGGAGTGAACCAGCAGATGGGAGATATTCATTCTCTCTCTCTCTGTCTGTCTCTCTCTCTCCACCCCCTTCCTCCTTCCCTCCCTTTCCCTCTTCCTCAGTTTCTCTGCCTCTCCCTCTCTTTCCGTAACTCTGCCTTTCAAATAAATAAACTTTAAAATAAAAAGAACAAGATAAACTCAAGGCTGTGTTTCAGTGACGATTGAAGGCTCCTCTAAATGGAGAACCCCAGGATAGTCTGCTCTGCACCAGGAACTTGGAGGGTAAGACAGTCACACAAGTCCTCAAGCCAAATGCATAGATTTAGGCCACAGGAAAACACAGGTTTAAGAGTATATTCCTGCCATCAATCCAAACGTAAGAGATCTCCTGAACTCTCCCTTATGCCCTCATCTATATGTTTAAAAAAAACTGCATTGTAATACTATTACACTAGTATAATTATGGGAGAAGAATACCAATTTTCCCATTGTTTTTCACTTAAAATATACTGATTAGTGTATTTCATAATATGGTACAAGAATGTACAATAAAAATATGGAGGAAATATCTAGTCTCTAGTCTTGTAAGTTTTGTAGCAGTTCATTAGGGAGCATAATCAGTCACTTTCTCTAGCACTCTAGTACCTCTCCTGTGCAGAGGGGAAAGTACACATGTGGTCCTCAAAATGAAACAATACCAGAAAAAATCTGCAGCTGGCAAAAATAAAGTTTAAAAACTTGCAATAGATGTAATCCTTTCTCTTTGATAGGCTTCCAATTTTACAAGCTTAGACAGAGAGCAGTCATTTTTAAATTCCATTTCATCAATTAAAATGGCATACCCCATGGACTTCACAGCTTTTCTACTTTTGCTTATTCCATAGGATGCCTAAAACCTAGCTGCAGTACATACTGGCTAGAGACACATGAAGGAAGGCAAGAGCACACACAGGTACCCAGTGAAGCCAGGCTTGCCATGCAAACAAGCCTCTTATCTTAGAAATTATGTAGTTCATGCTGGACATTCGTCTATCCTCAGATCAATCACTGAGCCCATGAAGTTCATTGGAGATAAACAGCATCAGCACTTTGGCCATGTTTTTCTTTGACTAGGAAACAGAAACTAGCAAAATGTCTTTAAGTGTAGATCTAAAGCACAAAATGCCCCTTGGGGCTAATAAGAAATGGGTTAACCATGGGAAAATTCTTGGCAATAAATTACGTATCTAGTCAAGTGGAAAAGTTAAAGGGTAATGCAAATTTAGGGTTGAGAAAGTGAACTTTGAATGGTCTTGGAATTCCCAACTTTCTGTTTCATATTAGGTT